TAGTTCTAGTCAAGGATGTCCTTATTTTACCCATGTGGAAACTGAGGCCAAGGAGGTTAAGTGACTTGTTGAAGATCACACAGTGCCTGACACTACCCACCAAGCGAGAGCAGTAACTTTGTTAGCTATAAACTAAACAGAAGCTATAGAACTAAGCTAAGTGGAAGCTCTATAGAACGACTATAGTAGAACTAAACAGAAGCTATAGAACTAAGAAGCAGACTATAGTCTTGGGGCAGCCTGTGTGGAGAGATGTGACTACACGCATTAAACCAGTGTTTTACAGACACAAAATGCTCAATATTCAAAATGAAGCTAAAGAAAAATCCGTTAAGTACATTTTCCATGACGTAATTGCCTCGTAAGCTGTTCCAATAGACGCCTCCTTTTCTGGGGTACTTACACATTCAGAAGCACTTCAACATCCAGGAGACACGCTAACAAGTCATGAATGGAAATGGGAGAGCTCCCAAGTGATGGGAAAGTCTGGGTTGTTTCTAGAGGCAGCTGCTTTTCACGCCTGCCAGGCTCAAAGAATTACTGAAAACTTTCCAGCACTAATTGGCGAACACAAAAGTCTTCAGAGCCTGATGCAATAAACCAGGGGGTCAGCAGAAAAAATGGATCGCCCAGAAAAAGGCGTTGTCAGTAATTGCACCGAAACTTGTTGCAACGGTTTGGCCACTTGGTTTTACAGGGGCTGTGTTGGGGGGGAAGTTACAGTTGCACATCAGCCCGGGTAGGAAGTGGTATGAAGGGGCTGATGAGATAAAAAGAATTTAAAACAGACAACAAAAATCAAAGGGAAACCCCAAGTAACATGTACGTAGCTTCTTACTGTATTCTAAGTACAATACAAATGTTTAACGAAGCCTTCCCTGCTACACTGTGAAATGTTAATACAATAAATAAGTTAATTATTACTGAAATGCCCTTTGAGAGTCAATGGAAGTTAGGTGCCCTGATGCTTTTGAAAAAAAAAAAAAAAGTTTTACTCTGTATGAGTAATGGATAAATAAGTCCATTTTACAGATGGGAAAACTGAGGTACACAGGTTAAGTGACTCATTCTAGGCCACTGCGAGAATCAGTGTCAGAGTTCAGATAGTTCTCCCAAAATTAAGTAACAAATTTAAGCCGTGTCAATGTCTCAGATCTCTTTTGTGCCTTAATATGGGTCATTCCTTCCTGGGAGGCAGCCTGGGTCTAGGGGATAGGGCACTTGAGTGGGACTCGGGAGAGCGGAGTTTTATTCCTGGCTTTGCTACATAACTTTGAGCAAGTCACTTCACGTCATGCCTCTTTTATTATATTAATTATGTATTTATTATTGTACAGCAGCTAACTGCACAAGAGACTTAATTACTACTGTAATAGAAATAATAAAACATCCATACAGCAGCAGTCTGAGTTGTGAGCCCAGACAGTCCCCACCCACCCAAACTGATATAGTATTTGAAGTCATCAAGCTGGAGTCAACAATGTTAAGCCACAGGAGTGCAATTTGACAATCCTTGGTTACATTTATTTAAATGTGTTCCTTTCACTTCTGCTGTAATTGCGCCAACTCTGGCTATTTGCTGGATCAGATTTTGTTTTTCGGTTTAGAAAGTAGCTAATAAAAATATTTGTTCCTTTAGGACTTGTTCCAAGGCAATAGGGCTGATGCAAAAATGTTGTAATTTTTACTGGCTTTTTAACAAAAACAAACAACTTTTTTTTTAAAGACAAAACGAGAGATGAGTGCTGGTATAAGGTGTGACTCCAAGAGTCATGTGGAATGAAGTCATCTCTCCACTGAGGGAAGCACTGTGCTAGAACATGAAAACCAGAAGCTGAAACTGACTATAAACCAAGTGAAATTGACCTGTGTAGTTTTATCATCCCAGCAATGTGTTTGTTTCTTAACAATCTACCTACCACCCACAATCAGTTTACAAATAAAAAGATGTTTTTTTTCCCCAACTGCTAGCTCTGGAGAATCAACCAATGATCTGAGAGCTGAAATGGGTTTTTTACAGCTCATGCATCACTGTCAGCAAGAAAGATTCTGCAACAGAAATGCATGTTAGGAGAGAAAGGATGATTCTGTGGCTAAGGCACTAATATAGGACTCAGGAGGGCTGGGTTCAATTCCTGGATCTGCTGCAGACTTCTTGTGCAAATCACCTAACTTTTGTTTCACCCACCCTTTGCCTGTCTTGGCTAATTGGATCATAGAGATCTCTGGGATAGTGTGTCTCACTATTAATTTATGCAGTGATCAGCACAACGTGGCCCCGGTCTCCAATCGTTGTTGGGGAACTACAGTAATAAAGCAGGTTTCAGAGTGGTGGCTGTGTTAGTCTGTATCAGCAAAAAGAATGAGGAGTACTTGTGGCACCTTAGAGACTAACAAATTTATTTGGGCATAAGCTTTCGTGGGCTAAAACCCACTTCATCGGTTGCATGCAGTGGAAAATACAGTAGGAAGATAT